ACGCAGGTCGTGTACATGTTCAACTTGTGGCTCTGTCGAGTCTCCGGCCTTGCTTTCTATGCCCGACTCAACCCCATGCCGCAATTCATTCTATATCTTCGCCTCTCCTTTGCCTTCATCACCGCGGTGTATATTGCACAGACCATGATCATCGCTTTGCAATGCATTCCGTTATCAGCTCTGTGGGGAGAAGGCACCGGAAAATGCATGGGCTCAAAGGTGGTCTTCATTTCCACGGGCGCTCTCACGATTGCTTGCGACTCGTTGATTCTCCTCTTGCCGGTGAAAATTGTGATGGGTCTTCAGGCCAAGATGGCCCGAAAACTAGCATTACTGCTCGTGCTTTGCTTTGGTATCTTGTGAGTATCAATTCTGATTCATCTCGCTGGAGGCCTTTACGAATGTAATATGCTAACCCCTGACTGCTCTCTAGTGCCGTGGTGTAAGTTCTTCGAGTCAATTTTTCTACCAACACGCAACAACCCCGACTAATGTGAATATTGAAATCAGTGCTTCCGTACTCCGCCTGATTGCCATGATTGTCTCTGTGCAACACCCGGACGACGCCACTTGGTACTTCTCCCCCGTGATTGCATGGACCTGTGCCGAGATCAGCGCCGCCATCATCGCCCTCTCCCTCCCTGCTCTCCGAGCAATCTTCGGATTCTTGAAGGAACATCGCTCCAAGAACGCCAGCTACTCCAACAGCTCTGAGCCCATCAGTCTTGATTCGGTCTCCAAAAAGAAGAAGAACAGAGTCTTTCATGGAAACAACACCTACGAGCATATGACGGAGATTGACGGTGAACGGAGTGCAAGCCAGGAGGTTCTTTGGAATCAGGACAACAACCAGAAGATTCGTGTCACGGATACCGTGAGAGTGGATGTTCGCGGATAATTGCTAACTGACATGCCCGGCCATGGAGTGTTGTAAGACTAAAGTCTGGCATGTGTTCCTGTGTGCTGGCATACGGAGCCATAGCCCAGTCTTTCTGAGACGGAGTGATGAACATAGGTGTGACTTTTAATAGTGTCAAGAAGCTAAAATCAACATAACATGTCGTGCTATGGCCCATTCAAGAGTCCCCAGACCGGTGGATCAATTCTTGTAAAGTGCTTTCTAGTCCGTGGCAGCCCGTGTTCTTCCGAGCATCAACTTTGGCGGTTCCTCATTCCGCTTCACCAAAACAAGTGGACCATGGAACACTCTTTTTCTTTCTGTTTCCTTGCCAGAGAGCCTCCAAAGCCATTGGACGCGGTGTAGTATTTACCAATTCTGTTTGATGTTTAATCCAGAGTTATGGTCTTACTCCACGGAGGGCGAGGTCATGAATACTGCAGGAAAATCTTTTCTTCACAGAGACAGTAAACGCGTCTTGGTCCCCAAGAGTTTGAGGCAAAATCTCGAAGTGCGTTGTTCCCTAGTCTTCACGCCACATGATCTGATAGATAGAGAATACCAGGACAAATCACCATTCAGAAACGATGTTTTTGAGTACGCCGAAAATTATCATTATCGGGAACTGGTGCTGGCAGACACAATATGACCTTATTCACACTTGACATCCATTCCCATAGTAGGGAAACCCCAGCGAGTGTTAGTCTTGACCCTCATATGAAACTCAAATATGGAAAGATGCCACATTGTTCCAAATGAACTCAAAAGTGTCTTGTCGAAAGTTATCCGGCAAAAGAGCACCCCGGTCTCGGAAGAATTGCATCAGCATTTGCTTGTCCGCCCACTGCGGCCATGTCATAAAACCAGCCGATCTTGAATTCGGATCCAAATCATAGACGAAAGAAAGATAGTAGGAGTGAAATGACCGGGACGCGTAATTGGGCAGAATGCCATAGAACACTTGAAGAATATCAGAACCATGAAAAGTGCCCACAACAGGCGTTCCGTAATCATAAGACGAAAGATATGACCAGAACGGCACATTGGGTTTTGCAGCATGCGCAAACGTCAAGAAGGCTCGTCGAGTGATGGTGAAGGTGAGATCGCCCAGAATGGCCGCGATGCGCTTGTATTGGGGGTACCAGTTGTTGAATATACCGGTGCGGAATGGGGATCCATCGGTTGTGATATCGGGGTAAGTCGCCACTAGAGCCTGAAGCTGTGCTCGTGTCGCGTCTTTGAAGAAGAGCTCTTTCAGATAGTCTACTATCTGCTCAGTGGTAGTGATATTGGCTTGGAAGAGTGCAAAGATAGTCCCCTCATCTTCTTGATCGCCAATAATGAACGGGACAGAAGCATACTTTCCGTTCGCTATCAAGACATCAGGAGACTCTGTGAGGGCACTGCCATCCGGCCGAGGGAGGTATGAAAGAGCAACAGAGTTATATGAGAGAATACCAGGAACGGTATTCGCTGCATTCAGGAACGTGGTGTAGTCCAGTTTGCGCAAGCAGGCTAAAGTGTCCGAGGCGCTTGAGCAACCGGCAGACCGGACAACCGTATCATAGACATCCTGGCCCTTGACATCGTCCACTCGATCGGCAGGGACGATACTGCCCGAGTTCATGATTGCACCTCGGAAAAGGGGCTTCCCGTTGTAGGTGTGATCCCCGTCATAGAGTGCCATCTGGTCTAGTACAGAGATTGACCCTGCGGACTCGCCCCAGATCGTCACCTTACTCGAATCTCCACCAAACGACTCGATATTGTCGGCAACCCACTGCAACGCAAGGCGTTGGTCGAGAAGACCCAGATTGGCAGAGTTGTCTTTCAGGATTTCTGAGCCAGGCATGAAGCCAAATCCACCCACGCGGTAGTTGATCGCAACAAACACAATGGGCATTCCCAATTGCATTGATACAGATACGAGACTCGACCCATCATACATAGCGCTCGATCCGAGCTCAAATCCCCCGCCATATATCCACACCAAGACCGGCAGTTTTGTGCTCGCTTCCGTCCCAGCAGGACGCTGGATACTGACCGTCAAGCAGTCTTCGCCCGCATTGCTGATTGTTTGGAAAAGTGGAATGTTGGCTAATTCTCCAATGACAGAAAGAGGGAAGCCAGAGTTATCGGTAGAGAAGAAGAACTGAGGACAAGCCTTGGCTGGGCTTGTGGCTTGGACAATACCGAGCGGGGTCTGTATGGGTTGCGGAGGTTTCAGACGAAGCTGACCTGTGGGTGGCTTTGCAAAGGGGATACCATTGAAGCTTTCCACACCGAGTAATCCAGCTTTACCGACGACTGTAGCTTGTGGATGTGCGATGATCACTGTTGGTACGCCAGCCCGCTTCACGCGATCAGGTGCTGCAAAGACGGCGGGAAGTGCCAGGATGATTGGCACAATGAGAGCGGGCAGCATTCTGAAAGGGCCTTTTCCAGGAACCTATGCTCTAGATGGTGGTTGATAGGCAAGTGTTCTGCCAATATAGAGACTGTGCCTAATAGGTACCGCTGATCAGAGTAGCAAAATCAACTGAGGGTGGCAGAGCACCATATAAGCACAGCTCGCATGAGAGCGAAGTGCTCACTAGCCTGGAAACCATCACATCGACATGTGTTTTCCTCGGTTGAAGTTAAGAAGAAAGACCGTGATCAAACACGTTCTTGATTTTCCCTGCAGACCCCGCTCTGAGATAGCAAGGGCTCGGTAAAGACACATTCCGAGCTAAAAAAGGAACTTCCTACGCCGCCTCGAAGGTCATATGACAACGTGAGCGACTACCATGCTGATAGGTTCGGGATGCAGAGCGAAATAGCCCACCATTCTCACTCAAGACACAGCGGCAGGTTTGATTCTCCGCACTGTGAAGATCTTGGCAAATTTACCTTTTCGCAGCTTCAATTTCCTCACGCCAGAAGTAAGTAATGAGAGCAAGTCTTTGCACATGTATTAGCCCATGTAGATATGAAAGATGCCCTTGTCTGCAGAAATAGTGGGAGCACGGCAAATCTTCCACCTAGACCCGTATCCTAGTCCCAGAATCAAGGCATGTCAGCAATGTTGGAAGTTCAACTCACGTGTGAGGCTGTAACTGATGTAGCATTAGCGCTATGACGCCGTTGTGCAGACACGAATAGCGGGGAAAACGCGGGGAAGGAACCACGCGCATAAGGCTCACGAGTCGGCGCGCTCACCTATCTATACCATTCTCGCATTCTTCATGCACGTGCATACCCGGAGCAGAAGATCAGCAACAATCCGGAACTATCCATCTAACACGAGGTTCCGACAAACAATGCATGGCACTGAACACTACCAATGCGGCATGGTGAATGCGGATTTGACGTCCACCTCAAGGACTTCTTTCAACTTGAGTGTGTCCCCCTCGCCACTCAATACGCAACTAGTATTTTCCGCTTCATTCAACCTCAAGTACTTGTTGGCCAAGAAGTCGCCAAGTTCGCTCGTTACTCCCGTTATGGATGGCTTACCACCGATCTGCTAAAACTATCACTAGTCAAAGTGTAAGACACGATTCTGAATCACTAGCGTCCATAATTAACCCAAAGCCCGCTATGGCAAGTCGTCAACCGTTAGGCCGACATGCTCAGGCCCAATACTCGACCGTGCAGCAAGGTTACCTAGGGCAAGTACCTTAGGGCAAGGCTCTTAGTCATACCAGCCCGCAGGTCAGGTGAGCCTTCAAACAAGTTACTATAGTACCAATGATCTCAATCGATTGTAAACCCAAAACGGATTTTACAAGTCCTTTTTGACTGGCTTGAAATACAAAGCTCAAATGGATAGCAGATAGCATGAGTCCTGGTTGAGACATTTCAAAACTACACACCCCAAGGATTTACCCTTCCGTGACTATTTATAAGCATAGTGCTTGGCCTTCAAAAAAATCAAGTGGGCGGAGCTTGAATTTTCTCTCCTTTTGAGGGGAGGTGCTCCGTTGCTATCAATTCATACCCACTACTACCGCATCCTTGATGTAGCCTCCCATGGTGGCAAGATCAAGACAGTTTGGTTGACTCAGGTTTCATGCTTGGTTCATAGTGCTGTAGGAAGGGCTTATGTCATCTGAAGAATGCCCTGGTAGTATAGTGGTATCATACATCCTTCGGGCTCAAACCCAGGCTGAAAAGCGGTCTATGCATGGATGTGACCCGCGTTCGATTCGCGGCTAGGGCCTCTGCGTTCCATTTTGCTGTCACTTTTTTTTCATTACAAGACTAATTGCAACGGCAAGGAAAAAGCAGACAAGCATACTCAACCGGGAACCCGTGGTAAATAACGACCTCCGGTCGCATCTTTATGATTCATGATGGAGGGCAGCCTCAGCTACGGCATGGAAGTCCCCTTGGCAACAGCAACACCGCATATCCCCTCACACCTCAAAGTGTCCCGTGTGGATTTGAAGCCACATATTGTTATCTGTGAATGAAGAAGGCTGATGAGTTTTTTAGCAGGCTGATATTCACCTCCATTGCTTCAACTTTCGCCGAGATCGGGATGGCTGAGAATGGACGAACATCCATGAATAAATGGGTTTATATAAAGAAGCTAGAGGCTGGCTTCTTTTAGTTCGGTCATTGAGCTTCCATGTGGCGGACAGCAAATGCGACTCACGAAACCTCTGGATCTCAACGAACCGCGGCTGGTTCAGAGTCTTCAAGGATTTCATAATGAACGATGGCATGAATGATTCCTTCAAGCGTCGTTCGCTGTCAGCCGAGTCACGTTCCATAGTTTGCTCACCGATTAAGCCTCGTACTTTGTGTATCTACGGTGTTCAACAACATGTCGGGCTTGAGCGCTACTCGGACACACATGCCAACGGCCAGTTCCAATGCCTCAGCATATCTGCAGCGAATACTGCACCAATGAGTATCTATCCGACGTCATCCGCTGATTCGGAGACTTTGACTAACAGGGACCGTCGGGGTCGGCTGAATTTCGAAGGATTGGGTCTCCATTCGTTTCACAGCCAATCGTCTAAGGCTCTCATTGTACGACCTCTTGTTCTATCTCCGCCTGATTATTATATCCGGCCACCCGGTACTCGGGGTCGGCTAGCCGTTGGACTTATGATCCGAGTCTTGGCCAGTGAAGATATACTTCGAAGTTCGAAGTAGTCGTGGTGAGCAAGAGTGCTTTGGTGATGGCAGTCCTGGGCTATCGGTGCCTACGACTTATTCAAACATACCATCGTGGTGGCCACGGGCACACTCCCTAGAATAGGGGAAAATGGCGGCTTCATCGGGACATCGGTCCTTTTTCCTTCCTTGTCATTCTAGAATCTTGAACAGAAATGTCTGATACAGACAAGTTCGGATTGTGGCGGAACGGCAAGGATGTGGCGGCCTGAGGCATGAGCAATGTTGACCGGGATGACGAAAGTCATCAGAACTCAAAAACTTAAATCCTTGCGCCGGGTCATTTCCACAGGAACGATTGGTGATGACAACGTCCATGAGTGCGGTTGGCATGTACACATGGCGCTCATCAACCGGTCGAGCGGGCTGGGACGTCGTGGTCGCCACCACCAGGTGTCAAGCTTTTCGACCGTACCCTTCGCGGACATACAGATGGGATGGTGGTTAACCCCGTTGATGACAACAGCCCATCGATGGACCTTGTGGGTCCGATGAGTCCATATGAGAGGTTCGAAGGCGATCTTGGCTATCTGCCTTTCGCGATGAAACACGGAAGCTGTGCAAGATCCCGCTTCGGACTTCGAGACGAATCGCCCAGTCCACCGAGTCCGGTGCTGCCACTTAGACCGAGTCCTCCACTGTATCCATCGATCCACAGGTTTTCAGAGCAATGACGCACCACAGCTCGAAGGGCCCTCTCTGTCCAGATATAAGAATATTGGAATCCGCCCGTGGCTCCTCGATCTTCGAAGCAACGAATCTATTCAATACATTGCATTACATCTATTCACCATGGGCTCTACCGACTACAAGTTCGAAGGATGGATGGGTCTCGATAAGGAGGCCGCCAAGGGCAAGATGGTCTGGCAACAATTTGAGCCCAAGCCATGGGAAGAGACCGACGTTGACATCAAGGTCACTCACTGCGGTATTTGCGGCTCTGACATGCACACTCTCGCCAGCGGCTGGGTATGTGATACCTCTTTGACCCCCTCCCAAGCATTTCTGCGAAAGGTCAGTGCTAACAGATCTTTTTGCACAGGGTCCCACACAATACCCTTGCTGTGTCGGCCACGAAATTGTCGGTGTCGCCGTCCGTGTCGGCTCCAAGGCTGAGGGCAACATCAAGGTTGGCGACCGTGTCGGTGTCGGTGCCCAGAGCGGCTCCTGCCAAAACGTCAACGGCGACTGTGAGCCTTGCGCCAACGGCCTGGAGCAGCACTGCGCTCGCATGGTCGGTACCTACAACGGAACCTACGCCAACGGCGGCAAGTCCTACGGCGGGTACTCTCTGTACAACCGCTCTCCCTCCCACTTCGTGATTAAGATTCCCGATGCCATTCCCTCCGCCGAGGCTGCGCCCATGCTTTGCGGTGGTATCACCACCTACTCTCCTCTCCGCCAGAACGGCTGCGGTCCCGGCAAGAAGGTCGGTATCGTCGGTGTCGGCGGTCTGGGCCACTTTGGTATCCTCTTCGCCAAGGCTCTGGGTGCCGACCACGTTGTTGCCATCTCCCGCAAGTCTGACAAGAAGGAGGATGCACTTAAGCTTGGTGCTGACGCTTACATTGCCACCGGCGAGGACGAGGACTGGGAGAAGAAGCATGCCAGCTCATTGGACTTGATTGTCTCCACCGCCTCCTCTTCCAAGATGCCACTGCTTGGCTACTGCCAACTCCTGCGTCCCCGTGGTACTTTCATTCAGCTGGGTGCCCCTGAGGATGGTCCCTTCCAGCTTCCCGCCTTCGCCCTCATCGTGAAGGGCATCAAGCTTGGGGGTTCCTTGATCGGTAGCCCCGACGAGATCCGTGAGATGCTTGACCTTGTCGTTGCTAAGAATGTTCACCCCTGGATCGAGGAGCGTCCCATGAAGGACGCTAACAAGGCCATTCAGGATATGGATGCTGGCAAGGCTCGCTTCCGCTACGTTCTGGTCAACGACCACTAAAATGACGCACAACGCAACGGAACTATCAGATGCTGGCAAGGAAGTTTCGACGAAGCTATGATTATATTATACTACTTGTAAATAGACCGTGTACAATGTGAATCAATATGAATACCTACATACGAATTCGCTCACATATGTAGATGTCCTCCCATTAATGCCATTTTATCAATCATTATATCGCCCATGTCGTGGCTATTTTGATCCAATAAACCTCGGTGGAAGGTGAGTTCAGTCCAATTGAATGAGAAATGGCCATTCTTTGCGTAATCTAGGCGGATGTATAAACCAGACCTGTAGCTGGCTTCCACCTAGCTAAAGTTTGTCTCATATCTTCAATATCAGCTGAGGTGACCTTTTCTGCACACTTTCTGGGCAAGCTGCCGGTCAAGGATTCCATGACTGAGTTCTTCTTCATCCCTGAAGTTCTTCGCGCGCCTGGTGAGAGAGAATGTGCCCTAGAGTTCAAATATCGGTGATGCTGGGGTGAAGCCCACGATTTCGGACGTGCACACCTCAAGAGGGCGTGACGCTGAGTCCCATAGAGGCCGGGTTTCGCATATCCCACGAAGGTTGTTTCACAAAGTATTGCTGGGCCCAGCTCATTAGACCTATCCAGATCCTCGAATACGCTTCTTGTCATGGCGCCGACACCGAATGTCGAAAAGCTTCAAAGGACGCACCAGCATGAGGTACGCCCGCTGAATTTGGAGGCCTCAGATTTGATCATGTTGCAATACCGGTGACTCAAGTTGTCATTCATGGGCGAAATCAATAATCATGAACACTTCCTTTTATATACAAGAGCCTGGTCTCCGTTCCAAGATCGGATACCACAGAAATCCGTGACTCTACTGACGATCGAGAGTAGAGTTTCCAGCCGTTAATGGATGCAGATATCGAAGGACCGTACATGAAAGTGTAGTGGGAAATGGCTGTAAAGGCATCTTGTAGAATTATCAGCGCGAAAATCACTTGCATGCAGTAGTGGAAATGCCAACTGCGTTACCTCTAGTTGCTGTGAGAGTGGTCCACCACGCTCGGCCTCAAAAGACGAACATAAGGCATGAGGCCAAAATTGGTCTTGTAGACCAACTCGAATGAGACAGAACGGTTCATCGTGACGTTCGTATCTTGACGGAAACTTCCGGACGCGTGATCCTCGCCACTCTGTGCTCACCTTCTCTTCTGCTCCTCAAATTTCCCTCTCCCAGATCAACTCAATTTTCGACGTACCACAGAGCCCCAGCGCACTTCCTCGTCTCCAGACTTCACGAGCAGCATTTGTTCACGTCTTTTGAAAACAACCCACCTCTAGACACGATGCCAACCGACAACAAGGGCAACGGATACACCTACAAGAACTCGGGCGCCAACAGCCAGGTGGGACCACGCAAGCAACTATGACAGCCGCAATCTCGGAGCTGACATTTTTTAACCTATCAGGGTAACCACTATTGTAGCCGTGATTACGACTCTGGTCAGAGTGGCTATCACTATTCCAACCAGTGAGTATCGTCCTTTTGCTGGTTGTTTGGATTATACTCGGAGACGACGCCAGATCATGCTCACTTCACATACAACCAGGGATGGATCGTACTACTACAAGAACTCTGACGAAAGCACTTACTACAACAATGGCAAGGGCGAGGCCTGGTACACTCCCGCCAACTCGTGAGTCTGAGTCCCTGCACACTGCCGACTTGGAGTTTATGCTGATGCGGCCTACCTTAGTGACAATACCTACTACTACTCCAACGAGGGGGACGATGACAGCGGCAATAGCAAGAACTAAAGGTGCAGCCAAGGCAGATTTGCTTCCACCGGCGAGTTGCTGATCAAGATTGACCGTCTCTACTAGTTGCGCCTGTGAGCCGTAACTGGGGACGATGACGATGTGCCTTTTTTGCTTTGATCCTGGTCGGCGATGGTAATTCATTCATGGACCTTCTGTCAGCTGGGTGCTTGCCAACGAGCTTATGTTATGCAGCAGATACGAATCGATGCCTTACTTGCTTGTTAGGATACTGAATGACAAGTCGCAATGAAGATGAGATTGATCTATCCACTTAGTCAGGTGACGAGCT